TTTTCACATTCTCCAAATTTTAACTTGATATTAATTGGCATTCAATTTAAAACTGACGTCAGTGCTTGAAATCGTCATCTGCTCTCAAGAATACAGTGTTGGCTTTCTTGAAAATGTGAAAAAAACGCATTGCATTGGTTACATGTATGTGCCAAATTGCATCCAAATTTAATGTTGAAATTTACGAGTCTGAGACCGTGATACCTCTTATGAGTGAAAGACTATCACAAAGCAATTCATTATGAAAATACTTGTTTCAAGTAGAAACTGAATGCAGACATGGATTGTATCCGATACTAACAATGACACAAACATCGTTTACAGTCTAAATGTGACCAGTGCGCTGTCTTTAACATGACCGATTTTGTAGAAATCCAGTCAAAAAAGTAAAATATCAGCCTTTACCTGCGAACCTAGCACTCCAGCCCCTCGATGTAAGTCAATATGCCCTTTCAATTAATTACAAGTGACCCAAAGAGGGATGTATACATTTGAAATGGAGGAGGCGTACTGGAGGGGCAGGGTTAGAGTTACGAGCGAGCAGGCCTAAAGAAACTCTTACCCAAGGTCTATAAATCTATAACTAACAAAAACAATATGAAATAGATAACAGCCAGATATTGCTCATCTTTTTCTACAATTTCAAGAAAACACATTTTTTTTTTATATTTATTTCATAAGGAGTAACACAAAACAATGATGCAAATGTTAAAATTAAACAGTGTCACTCAAATATTTACATTTTTGTATATAATTAAATTAAGAAGATTGGAGGGGGTCTCACAATTATTGATATGACAATGTTTGTGACGAATTCATGTATCTTGGTAAACAAATAGGATTACACAGTTGGACTGGATACTGAATGTACAATTTGTAACAGCTTCATAATAAAAACAATAAGATAGCCCAGCGATTTTTTGACTGAAAGTGCGAAATCAATACTTAAGCGAGACCACTCGAATTGAACTTCCAGGAATCTCGGTCATGCGGAAGTTTGACGCCACGGAACCTTTGAATTTGCGTCGATCAGTGTCATGTTGCGAATGTCAACAGACAGACAGGAGAGAGAACAAAGTTATAGCGATAGTCGATACAGACAATAACCTCGACTACAGTTACTTAGAAACTCTGCCACTTTAAAGACTTTCGGATCAACCAAGTTATCTACGCGAATTTTCTAGACCAATGCAAATCAAGTTGTCATATTAAAACAGCTGTGAAATCATATGGACCGATGTTGAACAAAGGCCCGTACTGTGTCGTGCACTCCTAGAACATTTTATTCCACAAGATACGTTTTTTTTTATGGCTTCCTTATTTTGAAAGTAGAATTATTTTTTGTGTTTACTGGGAAGTAAAGCATTTACACATCTCGTATTTTATTTTGAAGAGAAATAAAAGACCTTGCCACGAGTAACCTTGAAACAGCCTACGATATAGGAGTTACTGAAGGTCATTCAATGTTCTCGCAGCTCTCGGTCGCGGTGCTGTACAACGCGTGGTAAACCCAGCGCTAGACAATGGCTGAAAAATGTTAAGTTTGCTCTTACATACCCGACCCGGTACTTCCAGAATGTACTGTTCCTGTGGCCTATAAATGAAGAAAAAACTCACCATTAAACTTAACTAGAATGGATCCACGTCAAAACACTCGAAATTTTAAAAACTGAGCATTAAACACAAGGAAAAACGACTTCAAAAATGACCACTTGTCACGCTTAGGCAGAAAACCATCATGGCCGTCTCTTTTTTTCTGCTGGAGACTAAGTCAGAAATTTGACGACTACAATATTGCCATCTGAAAACGACCTACTGCCCAAAGGCAAAAAAGTACAACACTCACATCAAATTGTTCCTTTCAGAGAGCAGAATTCAAAAAAATACTTACTTTGGAAAAATCGTGGGAGTGATCGCTGCTAGCGCCGTTCATTTTTGGGGAAGTGTATGTCACTTACGGTGACTGAAATGAAAATGCCGTGAAATAGACAAAGTCCCAGTTTTTGCCTATGCGCGTGCGTAGAAGAAAAGACCCGGATGTAGTGCCAATCAAATGTGATGAGTACGGGGAAATAGTGTGTATACGCACGTCACTAGCGTGACGTCAGGCAACAAGAGTTGTCGTGTCAGCAACATCGCCGCTTTTGGCCAACTTGTACATACTTGTAATGTTTTTACCTCTGCATTTACAAATAAAACTAACGCCATGCTCGTTTCGGTGTGTTGACAATGGCGTCCGACGATGCCGCCCTCACACGACAATATACTTTATAGTAACACGTCCGATATTAAAAAAAAAAGATTGTCTCATTTGCAGCCGTAAAAACATACTAAAATAATTTAATTTGTTTAATCACTTCTTAACATTAACACGAACCGGCATATGATATTTTAGCCCAGAGTCACGAAGCATAATATTTCCGTGTCAGAAAAAAACACAAATGGTTCACTAAAATAAAAAAAAAACGAATCTTTTCACAAGGCATGTGCCATCCAAACTTTACATGGTGATCCAATAAATGTGCTTTTTTTTAGTTCTAATAACAAAAAATGTTACATAAGTAAACAATAGAAAAAAATGACATCATGTAGTCTACCGTATATGACACAATTGCCTACGTACTTGATGCTGTTGATGCCCAATAATAGAGCAAGTCTCGTGTGGTAACAACTATTCGGAAGTAAGGATATATTTATATCAATTGGAGTCGTATCCTTGTGGGTGAATTTTATATAATTCAAGAACGCTGTCTAATAGTCTATACTATTTTGAAAGTGGTCGTTGGTATTTGTACGTGCACAATAACTATGCAACACCCATCCGGTGTACACATAGCTCAACGTCATAGCAAATTGATATAGTGGGTCTCAGACAACTAGTTGTCTGAGGTTGGGTCGTACACAGTTTACGGTTGTGAGTCGATAAGTCGTGATAATGTTCACGTAGACGATATTCAAGGGAAATTGTGCTATATGGTATTGAATGGCGACATAAGTTGTGCACGGTGAACTATTATTATAGTGAAAACGTTGATTATATTGTGACTACTTGATTCGAGTAATTATATTCAGAAAACATCAATTCGCGAGTTGACTAATTGTTTAATTATAGGATGTGCAATGTTTTGTTGTAACTTTCCTCCAAATAGTTCTGACCACATGCAATAGTATATACGTTGTGTCAGAGATATTTTTTTAATTTTTGTGTGAGGTTGTGTAGACATCGCTTGCTTGCTTGGTTTTGTTGTTGTTCATCACTTTCTCGAGAGGCAGTAAGCTGGAATATTGTACCTTGAACAATCCATAATGTGTATAGAAACTGAGACTGAGTGCTGATATGTACTATAGAAGCCACAATGAGCAAACCGTAGCTCAATTAAAACTGTGCAGTGGCGGCGGCACGGCGGCACGCCCCCCCCCCCTCCCGAGGCAGAGGGGGGCGGTCGCCCACCCGAAAAAAAATGTTCAGGGCGTCGCTGAAAGCCTTTGTGTCAGCAAAATTCTCCTCTCAAAAAGCAGGAAATAGCGTTTCAGAGGGTCTAGATTTCAGATCTCATGCAAGATTTTGTGCCGCCGCCTCTGCCGTGATCATCGAGGAATTGTAAGATTCTATAGTATAGAATAAAATAAAATAAGTGCAAAGACCAGTTTCGCGAAATGGAATACGAGTAGTTTCCACGAGAACATCTTTAACACATATCACTATGTCGTTATCACTTCACGTAAATGTTCACACGTTCTCACAATCCGTGGGTGGAATCTTGACTCGTTAACCCGGCTCGTTAATCACCGATGTGTTCTAACGCCCACTTATTCAGGTACGCAGCAATAACGAGTTGACCCGAGAAGAATATCGTGCGTATTTGTCACCTGTTGTCCTCAGGCAGTCAGGGATGGACCATTTATTTATTAACGATTTACCAACCCATAATTAACATATAATTAAATATGGTCACATGTACCTCCACAACGTATGAGAACATATCATAACAGGGTGACAGTGGGAACATGTAAACACAAAACTGTAAGTAAAATTGTTATTAGTTTTAAAATTGTTGGTGAAAAACATTTCTCAAGGTAAACTTTATGATTAGGTGGTAAATACGAGTAATTCCCTTGGCAAGGTTATTACAGTTTATTTGTTCGGGACATGGAGGTAAAAAGAGAAGGAGTCACAGCCAAAATAATCCTCCTAAACTTCTTTTGTTTTAGACAAGTTTAATCCCATAATTCCGTTTGTCTTATCGTCCTTTCACCTCATTTTCACGTCATTTAATACTCTCAAGCGTTGCTGCGCTCAGTACACATTCCAAGGTCTTGTTTCACGGTGTCGCAGTAAATGTCAAAGGACATAAAGCATGCACAGATCTTTTATACGTAGAGGAATCGTGTTTATGAGAACAGGAAAGTTGGAATTTTGAAAATCAGAGAATTCCTTGTCAAGTTTATGTAAATTTTCGTTTTTCAGTACATTTTTCGTTGTATTTTTGAATCAGCAATATTGTAATGTTTCGAAACCTTGCTAGTACTGTTTTTTGGTCCACAATAAAGCTCGTTTAATGATCTTTGCAATGGTGCATGGCATGGAACGTACCACATTGTACCAGAGACTGAATTTTGAGGTTCGAAATGACGCGTTTTGAAGTTTATATCCCTTGTATGTCCTACTTCCTACGGCAGTGCGTCAACAAGAAATTTGCTGCATTTTTTGTTTTCGAGCAATCGTTTCGTTCACAGCATATTGAAACAAATTTTTCGTCTGTAATATGCTCTTCGATTTCTTTTACGTCTTCTGAATTGAAGGACGTAGTCAAACTCGTGCGCGTTATCGATCGTCGCCATATTTGTTTATAAGAATTTGACAGAATTGTCACGAAAATCACCGAGTGCTGGCGAAGGCGTTTGTAGTATGCTAATTCACGGTAATCCTCACTGCGCTAAGAGGAAACTGTCCTCCTTGATCCGTTCGGCAAATAAACTCCCTGATCTATGTACAAACAGCGGCGACCATCCTGGTACCTTTGATCTTAACTTGGCTGTGACTCCTTCTCTTTTTACCTCCATGATCGGTATTAAAGTGCTGATGATCGTGCCAGCCAACGATTTGTTTCTACCATAAAAAAGTGTGAAACACAAATATCTGGATCAGTTAATTTGTTGAAATGTTTATTTAAAGGTGAACAACACAAAATTTGCTTATTTAATTTATTGGAAATACTTAAAATCATCTCACGATTAAAAACATACAAGGACTACATAATGCATAGCATAGATTTGTTTAAAGTGGGAAACGTTTATGCTTGTAGTGTATTTTTTGCATCAAAAATCAAATTCAATTTAACACTTCATTCATTTGTCTAATTCCCCAAGATGGATCCCTAGAAAACGCTGAATACGAGAGTGGGCAAGTGTAAAGAACAGCAGTCAGCACACAGGTTAGCAGATAATTCGACAATCAAGCCAGGAAATAATCACGTGTCGCACGTGCTTAGTTTGTGATGTAGAAGTAGGGATGCAACAAAAACAAAGGGCTCATTGAAAAATAATAAACATTGCCCATCAACTTGTATATGTAATGTTTATATCACCAAAAATAATATTAAGGACACATTTCTCTTAGAAACATGTTTATGGTTGGAAGAACAAAGTTGGAAAAAAGTTACATTTTAAAAGCCAGGGAAGAATGCAGTTATCGGCGGTTTTATGAGGATATGTCCCGTAAAAATCCACAACTGATTATAACAATTATGTCCATTTTAAAAAAAAAATATTGAGCAAAGTAGAATTATTTTCAGTTTTAACTTAGAGTTACCATGGAACATGGAGGTAAAAAGAGCATGGAGCTAGCTCCATGGAGTTACTAAGCATGTAAAAGATACAGTAAATCAGGCGTGTAATTCTTGATTCCCATAACAAACTTTTATTTGTGCTCTGCTACAGTCAAGCGCACACTACTAGTATTCATTGTGATATTGTTGTTGTTCTAGTCAGATTCTAGAAAATATTTAAAACGCATTTTGTGTCTGAAAGTAACTTGTTAATTACTCTACACTAAATCAACCACGTGATCGACATAAAACACGGAGGTGACATCAACCTCTTTGAAAAATGTAAATGACCAATTCGGCCAAATCTTCGAAATGCCGAAAACACGCTCATCCCTCAACAAAGAGACTGATCAATTGTGTTGCTAATCCCTTCAGATGTTTGTAGATTAGAATATGTGACGATGGTTTATAGTTCCATGATGTGACGATGGTTTATAGTTCCATGATGTGACTGATGGTTTATAGTTCCATGATGTGAC